TATGAACATTATGCAGCTGTTACAGAATGCACCTGTCTTGTATTTACGACACTTGGCCAAAAACTGAAGTGCCTCCAATTCCGTGACAAGATCTGTTCACATTGTAGCGATTGTTTTGATCTGTAGTCTGGGTGAATTAAAATAGGTGATGGCGGAATATGACGTCACTGATTTACAATTGGAACTGTTAAAACTGCTGCAAGGCCAGGGTAGATATGGTTCATAATCATAATGTCTGTCCGTATTTGTACTTTTCGGTGGCTTGCCGGAATGGGTTTTGCCACAGGCACTTGTAGCTGTGGAGCTGTGATAGGGAAAATAGATATGGTTAGAATATGCTAAAATCTAATTGGGCTTTTTAGGAGTACAAGCCTAAAGGATATGCCCCTAGCTATTATTATTTTCTGTTGTTTTTCCTCATCTTCTTCTTTTTTTTCTGTTACATTTTTCAAGAAGTCGCTTGAGAAGCAATAACCTAAAACTTAGTGTGCTGATTCAGACCAATGGAAACAGATACAAATAACTTTCAAAAAGGTGACCGGTTCAATAATTGCCATACTATGAAATTTTGTATTGCTTCTCACTCGGCTAGTTTTAGATTAAAGTGTGGTAGTCGTCACGCTGCGCATATGCAAGATATATGGGTCTCGTATAAACAAAGATGGCGACTTCGGCTGTTGCGCAGATCAACGAGTACGAACTGAGAATTTTCCAAGCCTTAATTAGGCAATTTTCATGCGATTGGAAGGTATCGAAGGAGTCAACGCCGGTAATCAGTGCAAGCCGTGCCCAAGTCAAACCTCATACTTGTGATTTCCATTTGAAGAACGCATTGGATTGTGGGAAAATCAATGTTTATCAACACAAATGTCGCGACGACTACCGCACTTTAAACTATCTGAGGACCTAAAACTATTCAAGCACCTGCAACTAGTTGTTCATTGTTATTTTGTACTATGCACATGCAAAATCTCAGCACATTTCATCCAAGTCTTGAGAAGGTTGAAAAATGGGAAAAAAAAAATTGAAATCTGTTTTTTGTAATTTTTAAATATAAAAAATTAAGATTTTTGTAATCTAATTGCAAAAACCCAAAGATCTGATCAACCTTGCATAAATGGCTTAATCACTGTACTCTCTTCAAAATGATTGGTTAATTGGTCCCTTGCTTCTAAAATGTGCTCTTACTGGTGTATATGCAAACTTTTCACTGTCCTTTGTAATTAGAAATATAAATGGATAACAAATGATGCATTACTAAAAATATCATAGTACCTAAAATGCCAGGGTGCAAGATCTAATCAAATAGCAAATCAATCACTACCCGAGTCGGCCTGAACGAAAAAACTTTCCAGCCAATTAGTACATTGGTGACGTATTCCACAAAATTTGATCTTGATTTGCATTCTGCTGTGCGTCAATAAAAATTAGGTCAAGTCGCTAATTAACCAATCAAAATGATGGATGGTGCCATTGTGTTTGAATCACCATAGCTCATTTAAATGACAGTTCAGTGACTTCACGGTGACTGTTCAGTATTGACTTGATGATACACCATACCCATGGCTGTTCAGTGTTGACCACACCTATGAATTTCAGTTCAATGCTAACATGACTGGACTGATCATGTTCAAACTTTACACATTTTTGTGCTAAAATGCATTATGAATGTCATGGTCAGACTAAAGAAAGGGATTGCACAAATAAACTGGCTCCACTTTGTTTCATGTCTGTCACAAGAGTGTAAATAATTATTTGGCACTAATGTTGACAGTCACTATAAAAACTGGACGATGACTTTTTCATTTTATGATGATTACTCTAATTCTCAATTTTTGACTCCCCGTGTGCGAAGCACAAAAGGGAGTCTTTGCAGTTACCCTGTCTGTATGTCTGTCATTTTTTTTGTTCCACGGTTATCTCAAGAACCACTAATCAAATTTTGATGAAACTTGGTACATAGATGCTCTGGGATAATGCGCAGAATTGATTAGGTTTTGGTAAAAACCATGAATATTAATTACCTAATTTGCATGATAATTAGCTGATTTTTAGCTGTTCCATGACTGTTCCACTGATATCTGAAGAACCACTCATTGGATTTTGATGAAACTTGGCACATGGATACTCTGAACTAGTGCGCAGATTTGATTAGTTTTGGGTATAAATCTATGAATATTAACTGCCTAATTTGCATAATAATTAACTTATTTTATGCTGTTCCATGACTGTTCCACTGATATCTGAAGAACCACTCATTGGATTTTGATGAAACTTGGCACATGGATACTCTGAACTAATGCGCAGATTTGATTAGTTTTGGGTAAAAACCTGTTTATATTAATTATCTAATTTGCATAATGATTAATCAATTTCCGGCTTTGAAAACTAACATAGATGTCATATGACACTGCACAGACCTGATGTAATATCAGTACATATTAATTACCTAATTTGCATAATTAATTAATTTTCAGCTTTTGATATTTCAAGTAGTAATGATCACGTTTCAATGAAACTTGGTACATAGTTACTTGAGGACTGTGCAGAGACCTAATCAGTTTTTGGGTAAATATTTGTGTATATTAATCACCTTATTAGCATAATTAGTTAATTTTCAGCTTTTCACCTGATAGAAATGTATCTCAAGTACTAATCATCACATTTCCATGAGACTTGCGACATAGATCTTCTAGGACTATGCAGAGACCTGATTAATTTTGGGGTAAATAATTGTGCATATTAATTACCTAATTTGCATAATTAGTTATATTTTTGCTGTTCTATGGCTGTTGCACTGATGTCTAAAAAACCACTCATTGGGTTTTAATGAAACTTTTAAAGAGTACGCATCACATTTCAATGAACCTAGGACTATACATCATATTAGTTTTTGGTAAATATTTATGCTTCTTAATCACCTAATACTGATATCTCAAGTATTGATCATCACCTTTGAATAAAACTTGGTCCATAAATGCTCTAGGACAATAGACAGCCTGATTAATTTTGGGTTAAAATCTGTTTATTAGTCCCCGTTCGGACGGAGTCAGAAAACGGGGACTTATGTTTTGCCCTGTGTGCGTCCGTCCGTCCGTGCGTCCGTTCGTCCGTGATCACCTGTATCTCGAACATGCATGGACCGATTATGTTCAAACTTCACTCATACATCACACATTATATGGGACATATGCACATGCATTTTTTTCATGATCCGATTAACGATAGCCGAATAGCGGCCATTTTAAGGCCGAAAATGCATCAAAATCGCACATTTTCACCATTCCGGACCCGGATCTCAGTTATGCATGGACGGATTTCGTTCAAATTTGTTACATACATTAAACATAATAGGACCTTGATGCACGTCATTTTTTTTTCGGATCAAGTTCGAAATGGCCGACTGGCGGCCATTTTGTTTTAAAGAATTCAGTTCTGGATCGGTATCCGAGACATGTCTGGATTGATCAAGTTCAAACTTCACACACACATGGTACATCATGTCACAAATAGATATGTGCATTTGTTTCATGATCTGCTTAACAATAGCGGAATGATGGCCATTTTAAGGCCGAAAATGCATCAAAATCACATATTTTCACAATTCCAGAACCGGATCTCAGTCATGCATGGATGGATTTTGTTCAGATTTAGCACAATGCGTTGTACATATGCAGGTGCATTTCGGTCATGATCTGCTTTGAATGTATATGTCACTCAAATATGAACGGAACGGGGACGTGTCATTGACAATGACTTGTCTTTTTTATATCAACAGTTGGCCAATATGAATACACCCATACACAGATGGTTTATTGATGAAGTTCCATCCGATTTTGAATTGTACATAAAACGAGACGATATGACTGGAAGCACCCTAACTGGCAACAAGGTAACGCAATACATGCATACTTGTATTAATATGACAATCTGTATTATATACATTTGTCAAATCAGTCTGTTATTCGTGAATATTGATTTGGGGGGAGGTCACCAAACTACCATACTCTCCTCCAGCGATTGACAAATCAAACAAGGAATGAAGTCGTAATTGACACAAATTTGACTCTAAAAAATCGCCAACCACTGTAT